TGGTAGAACTGCAAACCTGGCGCGTCGGGGGGGAAGCCAAGGAAGACACAGGGAACAGCACGGGGGGACAGCTTGTCCGCAGACAAGTCGCGGATAAACGCCCGAGATCCCAAGACACGGAACGCAGACGCATCGCCAACCTTCCCGGTCCACCGCTAAGCAGGGGAGGTCTCTGGCATGGAGACCCGGGGTTGAAGGTTGATCTGATGCGCCGCGTACCGAACCGCAAACGGCCACAGAAAATGGGGGGCAGTCGCATGGACCATGGACGTACGAGCGACGTCCATGACCATGCCAATTCAGCGCTCAGCAATCCCATTTTCCTGTGGAGAGGCCGGAAGCGTGAACGTCTGGCGGATGCCCTGTGCATGACAAAAGGCTCCCAGAAGGCTAGAGGAAAACTCACCGCCTCTATCAGAGTGCAGACGCAGAACAGGAAAGTCCGAGCCGAAACTCTCTCTGAGTTGGAGAGGAGCAGCGCGGATCGAGCCAATCAACACCTCAGTGACCTCACCCTTGCTGCGCAAGGGGAAGACTGTGGTGTAACACGAGTAGTCGTCAACCACCAGCAGGAAGTAACGCTCGTGACCCTATCCACGGACACGGGCTGGGCCCCACACGTCCATGTGAAGCGTCTGCAGCAGAGCCTCTGTTGGAGGAAACTCGAAGGAGTGAGGAGCAGCATGCGTCCTCCCCTCGACGCAGGGAACGCAGGTAGGGGCAGGCCCCAGAGGAAGAGGAGGGAGGGACCGGGGGAGACTAGAGACAAGGACAAGGGAGGCCGTGCCTCGGAGACAAGGCAGCAAGGGGTGACCAAGGCGGTGGTGCCAAAGGAGAGTCTGGTGAGACAGGAGACGACACGAGCAGGGGGCAGACGTAGGACCAGACCTAGACGCCATAGCATACACCTCACCCGACGCAGCTACCTGACCAGACGCAGAGACCGGAGGAGATTCAGTAGTCAGTGTGTACAGGCTCGACCCCGCTCGACGGGTAAACGTGGCCAAGTATTGGCCCGTCCGAGCACACGTGCAGTGGGTCACTCGCTGACTCGCAGGAGTGAACTGGTCAACCCCCCCATCCTGTAGGTCAACACCACTCACCAAGTTCGTAGAGAATGAGGGGAGGTAGAGACCTGACAGGGTGCCAGAAGGAGCCGCCGGACACGGTAAGACAGTGGAGAAGTGGGCAAGGACAGGAACTCCAGAGGGGTATGCCAGGGAGACTGTAACTGGCCGACTAAGCGGCGTGAGTGTGGTGCGGTCTCGAAAGAAGGAGCGGGAAGCACCCGTGTTAAGGGTGAAGGTGTGGGAGGCCTGAGTCGATGTGGTACCTGAGAGAGCAGACTCACCAGCACCTGGGGCAGCAGACTCACTAGCACCTAGAGGATCAGCCTCACCAGTACCTAGAGCAGCAGTATAAATGCCCGGGTCAGGCGGATCACACAGGTAACAGTCACCCTCATCACTAGTAGACATAGCATACATGGCAGCAAGAATAGCATCATAATCAAGATCAAAGATAGCAACCCCCGACCTCTGCAGCTCTCCCCAGCGAGGGATCTCAGTGGCGTCAGGGAACTGGAGACGCCACGCGTCCGTCAGGGGGCCGTAGCAGCGCTGGGTGGGGTGCGGGCCCCCGCACTGCTCACCCGTACGGTTGCCGGTATGCAGGACGTAGGTACAGGGACCAGCACCCCCACCCCGCTGACGCGAAGCATACCATTCACGAAGCTGCTGGGGGGACGGGGTCTCACGAGAGCGCTGCTGCTGCTAGCGCTGACCACGACCGGAGCCGCCCCGACCAATCCCACCGCCACCGCCGCCACCTCCGCCGCCGCCGCCACCTCCGCCTCCTCCGCTCCTCTCTGTCAGAGGTCCATTGGTGATCCCCGATTGATCCTAGGGAAGGGTTACACGCTCATTGTCCTTGGGGGTCATGGGCGCACTGACCCACTACTTAACAAGCCCTTTTATCCCAATGGTCTAGTGGTTGGGATTCTGACATGGTACCAGAGCGAAGGTCACGGGTTTGAATCCTAGTGTGTGCACTTCGGGCATCCCAGTGCGGGGGGGTGTCAGAGGTCCACTCGTGATCCCCGATTGATCCTGAGGAAGGGTTACAGGCTCGTTGTCCTAGGGGGTTATGGGCGCACTGACCCGCTACTTAACAAGCCCTTTTATCCCAATGGTCTAGTGGTTGGGATTCTGACACCACCACCACCGCCGCCTCCTCCTCCGCCTCCACTGCCGCCACCGACGCCCCCACCCCCGCCACCACTCCCACCACCACCTCCACCCCCTCCACCGCCTCGACCGCCACCTCCACCGCCCTCGCCAGCTCCTCCAGCACCCTTGCCCCCTTTGCCCTTGCCTGTGGGGCGTCTCCCGCTAGGGGCAGACGCAGCTCCGACCGACTCGAGGCCAACGAGGTCGGCCGCAGCAGCAGAGGCAACAGAGGGCAGGATGGGGGAGGGGGAACACCTCTCAAAGAAGGGAGTACGAGGGTCACCATGAGAGGCTCCTACAGCGACTATGCTCTTCTTAGCTGACAGGAGGCGCTCCTCGAGGAGGTCAACGGTGAGAGTGGTGGGGCAAACAGAGAGGAATTGGTCCCTGACCGAACGAAGGGAGTCAGGGAGCCGGGTGACTATGTAGTAGAGGGTGATGTACATGGGGGGGGGGGGGGGGGGGGGGGGGTTCTTGCTGCAGAACTCAGCAGGGAGCGTAGCGCGGTAGCGAGTGTCACTAGTGCGAAGGTGCGTAACTAGGTGAGTGACTGTGGAAAAGGCGGCGAGGTCAGGGAACAGGTACGGCAGCATGAGGCGACTAAGAGCAGCAGTGGCAAGGGAAGAGTAGCGTGCAACTACAGCGTCGTACAGGGTCTTAGCGCTCTTATACTGACCAAAGTCCCCGCGCTCAGAGGACGGCAAGTGACTACGAACAGCAAGACGGGCAGTAGCATCACGTGTGGCCCACTGTGAGCGAACAATGCTGTCAACATCGGCACGAGGGGCAGGAGAGGCGACAGACGTGAGATCGAACAGGGAGAGACCATCTATCCTATCGCAGTGTAGGAAAAGCTGTAGGTCATCGACCCAGACCTCAAAGTCGACAGCTCGACCCTCAGCATCAAAAGTGAGAACATTAGGAGCAGCCATGGCAGCAGTGGCAGCAGCAGCCTAGTAGTAAGAGCAGGGCAGTGGTAGAGGCGTTGCTCAGGAGTGCTCTTACCAGGACGGGTAGGTAGAGGCCCGCAGGTGATGAGGCAGGGCCAAGGCGTGCCGGCAGGGACAGGGCCGCAACAGTGGCGGCGACGGCAGCGACAGCGGCTGTGGCGGTGGCTGCGGCTCGACAGTTGTGGCGGCTGCTGCTGTAGTCAACGGCCCGCGGTGATCGGGGCCTCGGCTGTGACTGCTGCGGTGGCTGCTGTCTCGGCTGCGGCTTCGGGAGGGGCAGCGGCGGCGGCAACGGCAGCGGCGGTCGGCAGCAGAGGCGGCTGCAGTCAGCAGCGGCGGTGGCTGCAGCGGTAGAGGTGGCCGCTGCTGCTGCTGCTGCTGGGACTGAGGAGGGGCCGCGCAGTGCGGCGACGCGGCCGCGAAGGGGCTACGAGGGGCCGAGAAGAGCGGGGACGGGGCTGCAACGGGCGGCGATGGGGCCGCGAAGTGCGGCGACCGAGCCGCGAAGGGCGGCGACGGGGCCGCAACGGGCGGCGACGGGGCCGCGAGGGGCGGCGACGGAGCCGCTAGGGGCGGCGACGGGGCCGCGAAGGGCGGCGACGGGGCCGTAACGGGAGGCGACGGGGCCGCGAGGGGAGGAACCGGAGCCGCGAGGGGCGCCGACGGGGCCGCTAGGGGCGGCGACGGGGCCGCGAAGGGTGGCGATGGGGCCGCTCGGGGTGGCGACGGGGCCGCGAGGGGCGGCGACGGGCTGTGAAGGGCGGCGACGGGGCCGCTAGGGGTGGCGCTAGGGGCCATGAGAGGGGCCTCTAGGAGGGCGCGACGGGCTGTTCGGGGCAGGGGACGCGACGAGAGGGCGGCCCATGGGGCGCGTCTCGGGCAGGGGTGACTTGCGCTCCGGGCAGAAAAAAAATAAATCAATTTTCAGTGGTGGGCCCTAGGAAGTGTTCCCATTAGGGAACCTGCTCTATACCATGTGAAGAAATGAGGAATGGATTGACTAAGGGAAAGGTTGGGTACAAGTACAAACCTAGAAATGTGTTGTGCCCCATATGTGCTACCTCACTATAGCCTACACAGGCTAAGTCATACAAGTCTGACAAAAGAGTGACGATACAATGAAAACAGCGAGACTAACTAGGGGAAATCCTAGCTAGGTGAGAAGGTCATGCAAAGATGGTTCGAGAATGTTGCGATTGGAGCGGGGGTGACTCGGGAATGGTTCGGTGCAGAAATGTAGGCCGAATGAAACTAAAGCGTGGCCCTCGGATTGTACCCACTAAAGTGCGAGTACAGTAATGAATTACAATTCCTTGCAAAGATTGTACGAAAGAAACGAACTTCAAGGCATATCTCAATATTCAACCCTTGCCTTGCCCGCTAAGAGCTTTCCTTCAAGTTTGCTGTCAATTAGACGGTCACACTTTTCTCGTTCAGGGTTTGTTTAACTCGGTTTGATATAGTCAACCACGTAAAGGAATGGTACTTCAGCTTCACCGCTTTAGACCATCGCGGACCAGAGTAAACCTGTTCAAGTCAATGAAATAATGACAGAACCTAACAGCGAGTCCAGCGCTTACGCTCACACTTCATCGTCATGGTGCACTACGATTTCAAACAGTGTATAGCAGCTATCAAGATTAACTGCAACGAGACGCGCACACAAAGAACAAGGGGCAAATACACTGGACCTGCCCTAAGTTCTCAAACGCGATCCATTCCCCTCCGACTAATACCCATTGATGCGTCTGCACGTACAGTGGCATATAGACACCCAACGGAAGCCGGCGTAAAGCGTTTCTGAACTGCATTTCTAAAAATAATGCGCATTTCTCCACGCCGACTTCCGCAGCAATGCCTACAGCCCAAGGGGTCGCGCGCCCATAGTAGGTACGAATCTCCCCGTCACCATGATAACAGAGGTCCCGCTTCGCGTGGCATAAGTCCCACTCACACTACGGTCGCTGACTCCTTTATAGTGAGCACTGGGCTTTCGTTCTACCATAGCTTCTCCACTTGTTGAACCAGTCAGTCTCCTGTGTTTGTGACTCTATTACCACCCATTTTTTTGTGCTGCCCATGTGATTTTGAAGCTTGGTGCACCGCCGTTTGCGAGTCCCCGCTATCGGCCATCCTCGTCCACGCTATCAGTGCTATCGATCCCACTTCTCTGCTGCAGCCCCTCGGAGTGTGCTCGACCTCGTGCGGCGGCTGCTCAAGGGCAAAGACGCTAGTACTAGCATCCACTGCGCTTGTGCAAGGCCACGCTTGCGCTGCTCACCATATCATGGGGAAGGGCAAGGGCACGCTTGCCTTGCTTCCCGTCATGGTCGTCATTATCACTGGTACGTATCGTGCGTGCTCATGCGCTCATCTTGCACCCATGCATACATTTCATCATGCTCACACCATGTTCAATACACCTTGCACGAGAATGGGCCTGTAACACCTTGATATCATTCAGCCATGGCTGGGCAGAACCCCAACCCAAGTCGGCTGACTTTGGTGGCCTAGGCACACGCCCTTGGCCCCGTGCCCAACACGGGCTCATTCCCGCATTCGTGCAACAATCTCGCCTCTCACGTGCTCCCCTTCTCGCAGCGAGTCACCAGTAGGGCGTGGGAGCCCAGAAGCTGGTGGGCACGCTGACGACGACGAGCAGCCGTTCTGTCAGCTTCTATCTGCTCCGCCTCTGGGTCGCCATTCTAGCCTGCAATAGGAATGTTGCTGGTGGGGAGAGAGAGATTCAAGTGTTGTGGCAGCAGGGTGGCTAGGCTGCTTGCAATCAGACCGAATTCTTCCTGAATGCTGGGTGCCAAGGACAGGTGATGGGCACGCTCGAGCGAGGCTGGCAAAGGTGAGCGTTTGATTCTCACCTTTTTCTAATTTCATGCACTTAGTGTCGCTCCCTCACTCCCCACCTCACCAACGACCCTTGCTTGCACTCACGCTGCCCTCCCCGTGCCCAGATACAAGCTCCCCCTGGTAGTAAAGTCCGCCCTCTGCGTCACCAGAACAGCAACACTTAGCACCACCGCAGCTCCCGACGACAACACCTAGGTCCTGACGACAACACCTCAGCTCCTGATGATAACACCTCAGCTCTTGACAACAACACCTCAGCTCTTAGACCTTTGTCATTTTCCCAACCTTCACAATCCACCTCACCTCAATATGACACACTTGCCAACCTGGTTTGCCTTCTCCTAAATAATTGGCTGCAACTACTGTAAAGTGGAAAATTCTCTCAACCCCCAAAGGTCTATACTCCATTATGGGTTCACCCCACAAATTCCATAAGTCGCCGCAACCAAATATAAAAACCATATGTTCGTAACTTTCTTGTTCGTGCTCCGATTGAAGCGATCCTTGGTTTGTCGGAAAAATCCTGAGCCGATAAGTCATTTCAAAGATCTGCTCAAACATAGTAAATCCACACATACTCATAGAGTGCAAACCATGCCAAACACAAAGGCTTTCACACACGCATGACACACATGCAAGGACGAACATAGGATGGGAGGCAGACAGACATGAGTGCAACACAACACTACGTGGGCCGCTCCGACTCCTCCATGAATCTGTCCTAGATGATGTGTTTGCAAAGCCTATTCTCGTTAAGCGTCTCGCGCACGCCTGGCAATATCAGCATCCGGCGCATCACATTGTAGTCCATAGAAAGGCATGCGTGATATACAACGTCGCCAATAAGTCGACGTCAACCATCCGAAGGTCGGCCAAAATTCGCCGAGCTCGATTGCAGTACTCGGCCGCTGATTCCTGCTAGCCCATCCGAATATTGGTCAATAGTTGATCCAGTTGGCCGATGTAGAGGTCGTCGGTAGCCTTGTAGGCTCGCATAATGAATTGTCAGGCCTGAAAGGCAACGTTTACTTCAAGTCACCAAGGCTTCAAGGTGACCTGCACCAGCGGCGAGCAGTAACGTGAAATGGTCATGAAGGTCAGCAGGTGGCGTGGCAAAATCCCGCCCACAATTTAGCACCGTCTTGAGCTGAGGCTTGATGGACTCCGTCTAGGTTCTTGTCTGGCAAAAACTTGAAGTAGCGGTACGCCAGCACGATGCTACTGTCTCGACCAGCTGACACATGAGTTGCCAAAGCGGGCCTGACTCCACCATGTTTGGTAAACCAGCATCGACTGTCGACACCGCCGTGCGAGCTGCCTGCAGTGGCCGTCGACTGCACCACTTGCACCTGCACTCCACCGACGTCGACATCGACGGCCCGAATCACTCCACAAGTCACCCTCGTGCTTCCACCACCGACTTCGTTGCTTCCCTTCATCGCTTCAAGGTCGGGGAGAGGCGGACGCACATAGGCTTCAGCACAGGGAGGGGGATGCTGACGCGCCCACCGCATGCGAATTCCTATGAGCATTCTCCAAGTCCTCCTTCCTGTACTCTCTAGCATCGTGGCATGCCCGAACATCGGCCTCCCTCGCCTGCAGAGTATCCTCTACGCTTGCCTTGACCTCATGGTCTACTGTGGTGATTAAGATGGTTGCCGTCCTACTAACGACTTAGGTAGCAAAAGGTGGCTACTATCTGAGGGTCTAATTGTGGGGCCGTCCTCGCTTAATACACCATGCGGAGAGTCACTATACAGCGGGATGTGGATTACGGGAAGGTCACGGGGTTGTACGAGTGATTGTAGTGTTGTAAAAGATGTTCTCACTACTAGATGTGTTCACAAAATTTGGCAAGAGTTTCACTAAGAATTTGAGAAGAACAAAATATTACAATAAGAGAACTCGTCTTGCAAGAAAGGAATTGCGACATTTGGCAAGCATTCTGCAAGGCGAACTACTAGCGGAGCAGAAGAGCGGCTTTCCAAAGCGGTCTGCCTGTGTTGCATCCAAAGCGGTTTGCTAGTAATGCATTCGCAGGTGAATATGTTAGCACATGTGCGCACCTACCAAGTAGGTGTAGTTCGATGGTTGCACCGTCAGGCATATTGCGTAGGTGCCTATAGAAAACGTGTCAACGGTTTTGATGGATTTCCACCATCAAGCACGTGATGCCGTTCCGCATGCCGACATCACCAAAACCTCTTGGGCGAAATTTGCACACCCCAACAGAGTTTCGTAGTCAAGCAAATTTGACCGAACAGTTCGCCGAGACGAGGCTCGCCATACAACACCTTTTTATAAGAGGCCGACCAATTCGCCGGACGGCGCCCATAGATCATAGGGCGAAATTGTTAAAAGGCGCCCGTCGATCAGAGAATGACCTCGTCAAACGGCGCCCATTGATCAGAGGACGGACGACCATTCTCGCCAACCAGCAAGGTTCGTTGCCGACATCGGAATCCCGTTGAACAGGGCAGGCCCTTCTCGACAACCACTGTCGTTTTAACAGTGGAGGCTCATTCGACGACCACTTTGTCAAATTCACCATGTTGACGTCGAGGGCGCTTGCGCCCAAGCAAGGGTGAGGCTTTCACTTCAACAGTCCCCCCTCCTTAGGTGAACATGGTTAATGGCATGAGGATTTTCAAGGTGAAGTGGTTGTCTCGATCGCCGCGTGACTTTATGGCGTGTTATGTGGCAAGAGGCTTCAGTGAGCGAGAGGGGGTAGACTTCTTTCAGGCCTTCTCCCTCATCTCGAGTAGTTACATAGGCTCACCTTTCCGCTCACCGACCTAGATGAGCCACCTCGTACTACCCCAGTGTTCTTCGCTGACAACACAGTCATGATCCTGTTGTGTTAGGAGCCTTGACTGATAGGGCATACGAAGCACGTAGAGGTGTGGTACTTCTTCTTGCACAAGTTGCAGAAGCGCGGCCATGCACGCATGGTTTTAGTAGCCTCAGAGGCTAACACTGCTGACATCTTCACCGAAGCACTTCAGCCTTGTGACCATAAGCGGTTTTGCACTCAGCTTGGACTGGTCACTTGTGATTCTCACTTACTTGTTTCATAATCGGTCTTACTTGCCTTGCTTGCTTGTTTACCATATATATAAATTCATATGTCTTTATATGTGTGTGAACTCTTGGACTGGCCTTGTGGCCTTGTTCTCCTCAGAGGTTGGACTTGTAGCGCTGCCCTAATTTGCATGTTTTTGTTGCTCAGATACTACCTCGCACCTAGCCTAGGGGGTGTGTCAAAATATATTTGTTATATGTTTGGTTGGCTAAATCACTTAGACTGAGACACTCATTAGGGTGTACAACATTGGTTGATATATCTGTTGTATGCCCCTGTACTAATCATCAGTTCAAATATGATTCTAACAGGACACACCTAGGCAGCAAACAAGAGAGGATCCTATACAAGACAAATCATGAGAACCTAGTCCAGGCACACCCAAATAATAGGATCCAACAACATTGCGGCACACATGGCATATAGAGCAGCTCCTATCTGAGACACGTCAAGCTCAAACACAAACAAACCTCTGTACAGCAGCGCAGGCAAAACCGAAGGGGGGGGGGGGGGGGGGGGGAGGGGGGGGGGGGGGGGGAGGGGGGTGCAGAGATAACTTCTACAACGGGAGCTAGACTACTGGCTAGGCACGTGTGCTCATGTGATCTCTGCGTTCGTTGGTCCTTAGGAGTTTTCCTAGTGCTCACACTGCTTGCTAGTTCACGGGGCAATTCGGCAAGAGTTTCACTAAGAAAAGATGACAATTAGGGTACAATGAAGCTGGCAATGCAAGACTATATCAGAGATAGCATTCAGGTCGGTCGACTGCCAGCACAGCATGGTCGACCGCGTTCCAGCACGACTTGGTCGACCACGCTCCAGCAGTGCAAAGTCGACAGCTTGCCAACGCTGCAGGTTGACGGTGTGCCAGCAGTGTACCCGCTTTGCAGGTGCGTGCAGATGATTGGTGTGCAGAGTCTCGTCACCAACGTCAGCCTCGGGCTGACAACTGCCTCGGATCAGCAACGACAACCTCGGGATACCACCACTGAGGTTGGTCTCGCCAACTTCGCCTGGGTGACCGTCGCACTCCTCCGCAGCACTTCGTCACCCAGGTAACCTGGTCGACCGGGCAACCTCATCGACCAGCAACTCCCGTACGTGTCCGTCGACCTCCCAAGTCGACGACCACCTCCATGTCGACCTCACCAGGACGACCACGCCCCTCGGTCGACGACCACGCTACTCGACGCCCCTCTGCTCGGCGTCCTGAGTCGAGGTCGACGTCGGCCATTCCTTCGTCGACCACCGGGTCCAGTCGACCACCCGCAGGTCGACCAGCACATCAGCCGACCACCGAAATCGGCTTCCCCAAGTTGACGTCCTCCGCAGGTCGACTCCTAAGTCGACCTCCCCAAAGTTGGCGCCACCCTGAAGTCGGCGCCCGTGCAGTGGTCCCCGTGCAGGTCGACCTCCTCGTCAACCAGCTCGCCCACTGCTGCAGGTCGGCTACTCCCCTAACACCCGACCACGATGTCGGCTCCGCCCAAGCGTGGACGGGGCCAACACACAACTCCTGTTGACACTCCCCTACCGCGTTCACGTTTGGGCACCCAGCCCATACGGCAGTACAGCTCCGAGAATAGCCCGTCGGCGTGCACCCAACGCACAGCACGCCGTCACCACACCAGCCATGCAAGAGGGCATGGCACCTACTGCTGCACGTCG